CTCAAAGTTAAGTTTAAAATAAGTTTTTGTCTTTACTACTGTCCTTGAGATTTCGCTTAACTTTCAACGGTCTCCCCTTGCATGCAATCGATTGGTTTACATTTTTTGTTTCGTGGACAGTCGAGAGGACCGGTCCATTCGCTTAACTTTGTCGCCCCCTGCATGCAATCGATTGGTTGACATTTTTTGTTTCGTGGACAGTCGACTCCGAGGACCGGTCCTTCCGAGTGAGTTGCGCTGGGTGGAGTGTGGGTAGGGGGTGTCGCGGACCGGGGAACAAACTGGCAAGGGAACGGAAGGGGGTTGGGTAGGATCGGTAGGAGGGGTGGGTGGGTTCGCTCCATCCCTACCTGACCGACTGTCTGCATGCCTCCCTCGTGCTGACCCCCTTCATCTGACTCCTCGTCTACCTCCTCGTCCTCGTCTCGTCTTGCCCATGTCGGTTCATTATCACTGATGACTATGGCTGACGGCACAAGGACTCCAAGTCTAGTGCTGCAAGGCCCCCACGGGGTCCTGGACAGCGTGGTGGAGGACTCGACAGCCTCGAGCAGGAGCCCATCAAGCTCGCGCGTCTCAAGTACATCCGGCGGCGGACTCATCCAACTGCAAGGATCAGACACGAAGGCTCGCGGTCGGACTGTTAGAAGCAGCACAGTGATGTCGAATGGCATGTTTGGAGTGAAGCTAAGCTTCTATGAACCAGCTCATACATCGAGTGCATTCAAAGAAATCAACCGATGCGTCAATGAAGCAATCGAGGGCACAAAGCCCCAACGGATCGCTCCATCGCAAGCTGTCAGCTTCCAAGCCGTCATCGGATCCGATGCCTCCTCTGTGCAAACCGATTGCATCAAGCAGCGCAGCCGTCTTGACTCATCCTTGACACAGGCAACAACATGAGGGTCATTGACAGATCTGCTTTAGCTTCCTCCAACACCAGCCCGATCGTCAGCGATGGCTTGAAGGAAACAAGCCTGGAGACTGGATCACCGTGATGAAACAGACAGCCTACCCGGAGCCATCAAACGCCTGTCAATCGGATGACTCGCAGCGTTGCCACCTGGCCTAGACAAGTAGCGAGAGGATGGCTTGAGGTAGGTCCGGGCTGGAGGTGCAAGGTATGGCTTGACAGTGCTTCAGCGGAGCTTCACCCACGCCTTCAACAACAAGCAATGGTTGTAAGACGCTCATAGCAGTCGACTTGTGCGATCCATCCGGTTACTGCAAGAGCAGACCTGGTCAAGGCTTGGGGACCTTTTGACAACCTGATCCTCGCCGACTCTCGCACATGCCATACTCGCTCCATACCCCACTTGTCATCTCCTTTTCCCGTCCCAGTCTTCACACACCTCACCTTCTTCTGGTTCCACCAGACAAGTTGATCTGCTTCTCACAAGTTCTCCTTGCACTGTCTCTACGTGTCGCGTCGTGATGTCTGGGATGCTCGTCCACCAAGTCCTGCGTCAGATGCACCCCTGACCCTGATCATGCAGCGGCATAGTCCCTGCGTCCCTGTCTCCCTCTTCTCCCTCCCTCCCCCCTCCACTCGCACCAGCAGCATACTGTAATGCCTCCTTTGCTAGTCGTGTGTCTTTAACTTTTATCCCACGAACCATCTTCTCTCCTCCCTGCCCTACGATTACCTCTCCCTCCCCTTTCGCCCCTCCTCTGCCCTCTCAGCCACTACCGCCCTCCCTCCCCTGGCCCTCGCCGCATCATCTCCGTCCAGGTAGACTGCATGGGCTCCTCCTTCAGACGCTCCTCCTCCGCGATGCTCTCGAGGACCTCGTTGCGGTTCCTGACCATGAGCCCTTGACCCGTCGTCATGACCCCCCTCGCGTACTCCGGCCTCAGCACCTTGCTGATCGCCGCACGGCTCTTGCCGTACCTTCGCGATAAGTCCTGCTGCTGCATAGACCGTTTCCCCGTTGGAGACACTGGTGCGGAGTAGTAGAGGCAGACGATGTCGAGCTTCTCCTGCGCGGTCAGCCGGCTCCTGCCCCTACACGCCGAGCTGTGCTTGCTCCGCGCCGCCGCGTCCCAGCGGCTGGTCTCCGGGTCACGGCAGCGTCTGCGGGAGCGGTGTCGTCGGGGAGAGGCAGGAGGACGTCGAGGGAAGGGTCTTCGGCCAGGGAGAGTTCAGGGACAGGTATTGTTCAGGGAGTGCCAGGGATCAGAAAGGAGTTGAAGATGTCTAAAGTAGACGAGGAGAAGCAGCGGTCTAGAGAGGTAAAAGAGGGGTCTGAGACATCGACGGGGTCGATGGGGAGGAGGAAGTTGGGGTTGAGGGAGGGGTCGTCGAGGAGGAAGGAGGAGAGCGTGAGGAGGAGAGGGGGAGACATCAGGGAGGGCAGGAAGGACAGAGGCCTTCCGAGTCGAGGAAGAAAGGAACTTGTCGGAGCAATGCGTCAGATGGTGGGGAGGAGCAGGTCGTGGGAGAGGGTGGGGAGAGTGACCTTATGCGATATTCCCCGTGCTGACAGGAAGGTGCAGGGAGTGTCTTTAAAGATTTCTCGTACCGGTGATATTGAGGGGGAATAGCGGGGTGGTGAAGGGTGGAGGAGGGTCTACTCCACATGAAAGACTGTGAGCGCCGAAGCGTCGCTTTACTACGACTGATGGGATCACGTCCTGTGACTTTTAAAGCCTGTGAGTTGTAAGAAGTAAACTCTTTGACTTCCAATGACCCGTTTTCTTTGGGGCAAGGAGGGGTCTGATTCCGTGTCCAAGGAGAGGGTGGGGGTCACGCGGATCGGGGAACAAGAGGTCTTGGGTCCTAGTAAAGCCAAGAAGCAACAAGGACAATGTTGGCGTCTCAATACAAGAGGACCGGTGATGGAATCTTGCCTCCGATGGAGGGGTGGGGGGCTTCTTGAAGGACCCCTCCTCTCCGGAAACATCCCATTTCCATTTCCGCGCTGAATCATCCTCTTCCGATCCTCGTGTAGCCCAGCACCTCCCATCCGTCCCCTCAGGGAACGATTGGCTGACATGTACTTTGCAAATCTCATCGCTTTTTTGCTCGGATGGATGAAACTTGGGTCTGGATAGCTGGTAAGTGACGAATATGAAAGCTGCAGTCAGGGGATGATTGTACTGACATGTTCTTTAAAAATTCCTGGTTTTTCCTTGCTTGCATGGATTAAACTCATCTTCATAGAAAGTAAGTACCATATCATATGATGCTCTCAGCGATGTATCCTCCTCTATGTGATATCCCCCCTTCTATCCTTGTTGACGACGCCTCCCTCAACCCCTTCCTCCTCCTCCCCATCGACCCCGTCGACATCCACGACGACCCCTCAGGCTCCGCTAGCCCTGACGCCCTCCTTCCCTCCATCACTCTTTCAAGCCCCGACGACCCCTCCCTCGACGTCATCCCGCCTCTCCCCGACGACACTGCCCCCGCAGACGCCTGCCGGGGCCAGGAGACCAGCCGCTGGGACGCGGCGGCGCGGAGCAAGCACAGCTCGGCGTGCAGGGGCAGGAGCCGGCTGACCGTGCAGGAGAAGCTCGACATCGTCTGCCTCTACTACTTGGCGCCAGTGTCTCCAACGGGGAAACGGTCTATGCAGCAGCAGGACTTATCGCGAAGGTACGGCAAGAGCCGTGCGGCGATCAGCAAGGTGCTGAGGCCGGAGTACGCGAGGGGGGTCATGACGGCGGGTCAAGGGCTCAAGGCGAGCAGGCGGGCGACGGTGCTGAGGAGCATCGCGGAGGAGGAGCGGGGGAGGCTGCTTGCGCTAGGGAGGAGTGGAGAAGGTGTTGCGTGAGGATGAAGGAAGGATGGGATAAAGAGGAGAGGGATTGTTTCTTGAAGAGGTCTTGAGAATAATGCTCGTTGGATCTGGGTGGTATGTTGCTTCCTTCCATGCAGACCCATCACAGCACTCCTTCAATCGCACTGACGTAAGAGATCATCGCCTCCAGTCCTGATCAACTCCCTCTGGTGATGTTGTACACACAGCCGTCGAGACCATGTAGAAAGTCAATCAGGAGCTAGCGGCTCAATAGCACAGCGGCAAGCAGGTCAGGCTACTGTTGCTTGCTAGGACAGACGGTGGATCGAGCAAAGGGTCAGTCAGTTGCAGCTAGGAAAGTTGAGGAGCCATCGACCGGCGCTGTCTCTCGTCATCTGTCAAGTGAGGTGGCTCAAGAACTGAGGGCTAGGATCACAGGCTTGCCAGTCTGGGTAGTCGTGGGGAGTAGTGCCAGGGTTCGGAGCCGGCCGGGACCACTGGCGCAGCAGCAGCACCGGAAACCATCGAACTCGCCCGCGGCTGAAAGCTGCATGCTCGACCGTACCCTGAGTCAATCCAGCCGGCGGGAACTGAGGGAGGCAAGCGGACCAAATGGAACTCCGAAAGCGGTGGGTGCCGGGTAGACAGTGAGCTTTTGCCGCGCGACAGCCGGGCCCGAAGTCCCGAAGGCCCCCGGCCCGGCCACCGATTCCGGGGATGCCCGTCAGAATCGTCGCCGAACTTAATGATCACTGAGCCAATCCAGCCGACGCTATCACATGCAACTTCAATTCAAGCGGCAGACATGCACTGATGATAAAACCCCTCATGTCCGGGGCCCTACGAAACTAGCCACAAGGACTCTCTTTACTCAAAGTTAAGTTTAAAATAAGTTTTTGTCTTTACTACTGTCCTTGAGATTTCGCTTAACTTTCAACGGTCTCCCCTTGCATGCAATCGATTGGTTGACATTTTTTGTTTCGTGGACAGTCGAGAGGACCGGTCCTTCCGAGTGAGTTGCGCTGGGTGGAGTGTGGGTAGGGGGTGTCGCGGACCGGGGAACAAACTGGCAAGGGAACGGGACTCCGGGAAGGGGTTGGGTAGCATTGGTAGGAGGGGTGGGTGGGTAGAGGATGCGACCCATGCATGCAACCCATGCCCCAGTATAAAAACATGTCAAGAAACCTTCTCCTCCCTCCCTCCCTCCCTCCCTCCCTACCTGAAGGACTGTCTGCATGCCTTCCTCGTGCTGACCCCCTTCATCTGACTCCTCGTCTACCTCCTCGTCCTCGTCTCGTCTTGCCCATGTCGGTTCATTATCACTGATGACTATGGCTGACGGCACAAGGACTCCAAGTCTAGTGCTGCAAGGCCCCCACGGGGTCCTGGACAGCGTGGTGGAGTACTCGACAGCCTCGAGCAGGAGCCCATCAAGCTCGCGCGTCTCAAGTACATCCGGCGGCGGACTCAGCCAACTGCAAGGATCAGACACGAAGGCTCGCGGTCGGACTGTTAGAAGCAGCACAGTGATGTCGAATGGCATGTTTGGAGTGAAGCTAAGCTTCTATGAACCAGCTCATACATCGAGTGCATTCAAAGAAATCAACCGATGCGTCAATGAAGCAATCGAGGGCACAAAGCCCCAACGGATCGCTCCATCGCAAGCTGTCAGCTTCCAAGCCGTCATCGGATCCGATGCCTCCTCTGTGCAAACCGATTGCATCAAGCAGCGCAGCCGTCTTGACTCATCCTTGACACAGGCAACAACATGAGGGTCATTGACAGATCTGCTTTAGCTTCCTCCAACACCAGCCCGATCGTCAGCGATGGCTTGAAGGAAACAAGCCTGGAGACTGGATCACCGTGATGAAACAGACAGCCTACCCGGAGCCATCAAACGCCTGTCAATCGGATGACTCGCAGCGTTGCCACCTGGCCTAGACAAGTAGCGAGAGGATGGCTTGAGGTAGGTCCGGGCTGGAGGTGCAAGGTATGGCTTGACAGTGCTTCAGTGGAGCTTCACCCACGCCTTCAACAACAAGCAATGTTGGTAGTAAGACGCTCATAGCAGTCGACTTGTGCGATCCATCCGGTTACTGCAAGAGCAGACCTGGTCGAGGCCTGGGGACCTTTTGACAACCTGATCCTCGCTCAATTTCGCACATGCCATACTCGCTCCATACGTCGTGGGCGTGCTCGACTTGTTGAAGCTGCAGAAGTAGTAGTTGTAGGTGCCCAGCATCACGCTGTAGACGATGAAGGCCAGCAGAACCACAAAAGACGAGTCGATCTGCTTCTCACAAGCTCTCCTTGTACTGTCTCTACGTGTCGAGTCGTGATCGTGATGCCTGGCATGCTCGTCCACCAGACCTTCCGTCAGATGCCCCCCTTGCCACTCATCATGCAGCGGCCTTGTCCCTCACACCCACCCTCCCTCCGTCCCTTTCTCCCTCGGTCCCTGCCTGCCTGCCATTTTGAAACAGCAGCATGCATGCCTTGTTCGCCTGTCATACGCTTTTATTTTTGTCCCCTTCCTCCCCGTCCCACAATTACCTTGCCCTCCTCCCTCCCCTCGATTTCCGCCCTCTCTCCTCTCCTCTGCGCTCTCAGCCACTACCGCCCTCCCTCCCCTGGCCCTCGCCGCATCATCTCCGTCCAGGTAGACTGCATGGGCTCCTCCTTCAGACGCTCCTCCTCCGCGATGCTCTCGAGGACCTCGTTGCGGTTCCTGACCATCAGCCCTTGACCCGCCGTCATGACCCCCCTCGCGTACTCCGGCCTCAGCACCTTGCTGATCGCCGCACGGCTCTTCCCGTACATCCTCGACAGGTCTCGCTGCCGCATAGACCGTTTCCCCGTTGGAGACACTGGCGCCGAGTAGTAGAGGCAGACGATGTCGGCCTTGTCCTGCGCGGTCAGCCGGCTCCTGCCCCTGCACGCCGAGCTGTGCTTGCTCCGCGCCGCCGCGTCCCAGCGGCTGGTCTCCGGGCCCCGGCAGGCGTCTGCGGGAGCGGTGTCGTCGGGGAGAGGCAGGAGGACGTCGAGGGAGGGGTCGTCGGTCAGGGAGAGGTCAGGGACAGGTATTGTGCAGGGAGTGCCAGGGATCAGAAAGGAGTTGAAGATGTCTAAAGTAGACGAGGAGAAGCAGCGGTCTAGAGAGGTAAAAGAGGGGTCTGAGACATCGACGGGGTCGATGGGGAGGAGGAAGGAGGGGTTGAAGGATGGGTCGTCTAGGAGGAGGGAGGAGATCGCGAGGATGTAAGGGGGAGACATCAGGGAGGGCAGGAAGGACAGAGGCCTTCCGAGTCGAGGAAGAAAGGAACTTGTCGGAGCAATGCGTCAGATGATGGGGAGGAGCAGGTCGTGGGAGAGGGTGGGGAGAGTAACCTTGTATGCGATATTCCCCGTGCTGACAGGAAGGCATGCAGGGAGTGTCTTGAAAGATTTCTCGTACCGGTGATATTGAGGGGGAATAGAGGGGTGGTAAAGGGTGGAGGAGGGTCTACTCCACATGAAAGACTGTGAGCGCCGAAGCGTCGCTTTACTACGACTGATGGGATCACGTCCTGTGACTTTTAAAGCCTGGTGAATTGTAACAAGTAAACTTTTTTTTGACTTCCAATGACCCGTTTTCTTTGGGGCAAGGAGGGGTCTGATTCCGTGTCCAAGGAGAGGGTGGGGGTCACGCGGATCGGGGAACAAGAGGTCTTGGGTCCTAGTAAAGCCAAAAAGCAACAAGGACAATGTTGGCGTCTCAATACAAGAGGACCGGTGATGGAATCTTGCCGTTGATGGAGGGGTGGGGGGCTTCTTGAAGGACCCCTCCTCCCCAGAAACATCCCATTTCCATTTCCGCGCTGAATCATCCTCTTCCGATCCTCGTGTAGCCCAGCACCTCCCATCCGTCCCCTCAGCGATGTATCCTCCTCTGTTTGATATCCCCCCTTCCTTCCTGCTTGACGACGCCTCCCTCAACCCCTTCCTCCTCCTCCCCATCGACCCCGTCGACATCCAAGATGACCCCTCAGGCTCCGCTACCCCTGACGCCCTCCTTCCCTCCATCACTCTTTCAAGCCCCGACGACCCCTCCCTCGACGTCCTCCCGCCTCTCCCCGACGACACTGCCCCCGCAGACGCCTGCCGGGGCCTGGAGACCAGCCGCTGGGACGCGGCGGCGCGGAGCAAGCACAGCTCGGCGTGCAGGGGCAGGAGCCGGCTGACCGCGCAGGAGAAGCTCGACATCGTCTGCCTCTACTACTCGGCGCCAGTGTCTCCAACGGGGAAACGGTCTATGCAGCAGCAGGACTTATCGCGAAGGTACGGCAAGAGCCGTGCGGCGATCAGCAAGGTGCTGAGGCCGGAGTACGCGAGGGGGGTCATGACGGCGGGTCAAGGGCTCAAGGCGAGCAGGCGGGCGATGGTGCTGAGGAACATCGCGGAGGAGGAGCGGGGGAGGCTGCTTGCGCTAGGGAGGAGTGGAGAAGGTGTTGCGTGAGGATGAAGGAAGGATGGGATAAAGAGGAGAGGGATTGTTTCTTGAAGAGGTCTTGAGAATAATGCTCGTTTGATCTGGGTGGTATGATGCTCCCTTCCATGCAGAGCCATCACTGCATTCCTTCAATCGCACTGACGTAAGAGATCATCGCCTCCAGTCCTGATCAACTCCCTCTGGTGATGTTGTACACATAGCCGTCGAGACCATGTAGAAAGTCAATCAGGAGCTAGCCTCAATAGCAAGCAACTAGCACGTCAGGCTACTGTTGCTTGCTAGGACAGACGGTGGATCGAGCAAAGGGTCAGTCAGTTGCAGCTAGGAACCGAAAGTTGAGGAGCCATCGACCGGCGCTGTCTCTCGTCATCTGTCAAGTGAGGTGGCTCGAGAAAGGGCTAGGCTCACAGGCTTGTCTGGGTAGTCGTGGGGAGTACCGCGGAAGTTCGGAGCCGGCGGCGGGACCGTATCGGACCGTGCCGGCAGCAGCAGCACCGGAACGGGGGCCCATCGGGCTCGCCCGCGGCTGAAGGCTGCATGCTCTATGGATCTCACTCGTGCTAGGGCAGTCACTGAGTATCGGAACCGTACTCTGAGTCAATCCAGTCGGGGAGGGAGGCAAGCGGACGGCAAATGGAAAGCGGTGGGTGCCGGGTGGACTGAGCTTTTGCGACAGCCGGGCCCGGTCACCGGGTGTCCAAAGGCCCGAAGGCCCCCGGGCCCGCCGGTCCCGGGGGCATGCCCGTCAGAATCCGAGGGCCGCCGACTCTCACTTAACGATCACTGAGCCAATCCAGCCGACGCTATGCAATTCAAGCGGACATGCATAAAACCCCTGATGTCCGGGGCCCTCCGAAGGTATACTAGCCACAAGTACTCTCTTTACTCAAAGTTAAGTTTAAAATAAGTTTTTGTCTTTACTACTGTCCTTGAGATTTCGCTTAACTTTGTCGCCCCCTGCATGCAATCGATTGGTTGACATTTTTTGTTTCGTGGACAGTCGACTCCGAGGACCGGTCCTTCCGAGTGAGTTGCGCTGGGTGGAGTGTGGGTAGGGGGTGTCGCGGACCGGGGAACAAACTGGCAAGGGAACGGAAGGGGGTTGGGTAGGATCGGTAGGAGGGGTGGGTGGGTTCGCTCCATCCCTACCTGACCGACTGTCTGCATGCCTCCCTCGTGCTGACCCCCTTCATCTGACTCCTCGTCTACCTCCTCGTCCTCGTCTCGTCTTGCCCATGTCGGTTCATTATCACTGATGACTATGGCTGACGGCACAAGGACTCCAAGTCTAGTGCTGCAAGGCCCCCACGGGGTCCTGGACAGCGTGGTGGAGGACTCGACAGCCTCGAGCAGGAGCCCATCAAGCTCGCGCGTCTCAAGTACATCCGGCGGCGGACTCAGCCAACTGCAAGGATCAGACACGAAGGCTCGCGATCGGACTGTTAGAAGCAGCACAGTGATGTCGAATGGCATGTTTGGAGTGAAGCTAAGCTTCTATGAACCAGCTCATACATCGAGTGCATTCAAAGAAATCAACCGATGCGTCAATGAAGCAATCGAGGGCACAAAGCCCCAACGGATCGCTCCATCGCAAGCTGTCAGCTTCCAAGCCGTCATCGGATCCGATGCCTCCTCTGTGCAAACCGATTGCATCAAGCAGCGCAGCCGTCTTGACTCATCCTTGACACAGGCAACAACATGAGGGTCATTGACTCCAACACCAGCCCGATCGTCAGCGATGGCTTGAAGGAAACAAGCCTGGAGACTGGATCACCGTGATGAAACAGACAGCCTACCCGGAGCCATCAAACGCCTGTCAATCGGATGACTCGCAGCGTTGCCACCTGGCCTAGACAAGTAGCGAGAGGATGGCTTGAGGTAGGTCCGGGCTGGAGGTGCAAGGTATGGCTTGACAATGCTTCAGTGGAGCTTCACCCACGCCTTCAACAACAAGCAATGGTGGTGGTAAGACGCTCATAGCAGTCGACTTGTGCGATCCATCCGGTTACTGCAAGAGCAGACCTGGTCGAGGCCTGGAGACCTTTTGACAACCTGATCCTCGCTCAATTTCGCACATGCCATACTCGCTCCATACGTCGTGGGCGTGCTCGACTTGTTGAAGCTGCAGAAGTAGTAGTTGTAGGTGCCCAGCATCACGCTGTAGACGATGAAGGCCAGCAGAACCACAAAAGACGAGTCGATCTGCTTCTCACAAGCTCTCCTTGTACTGTCTCTACGTGTCGAGTCGTGATCGTGATGCCTGGCATGCTCGTCCACCAGGTCTTCCGTCAGATGCCCCCCTTGCCACTCATCATGCAGCGGCCTTGTCCCTCACACCCACCCTCCCTCCGTCCCTTTCTCCCTCGGTCCCTGCCTGCCTGCCATTTTGAAACAGCAGCATGCATGCCTTGTTCGCCTGTCATACGCTTTTATTTTTGTCCCCTTCCTCCCCGTCCCACAATTACCTTGCCCTCCTCCCTCCCCTCGATTTCCGCCCTCTCTCCTCTCCTCTGCGCTCTCAGCCACTACCGCCCTCCCTCCCCTGGCCCTCGCCGCATCATTTCCATCCAGGTAGACTGCATGGGCTCCTCCTTCAGACGCTCCTCCTCCGCGATGCTCTCGAGGACCTCGTTGCGGTTCCTGACCATCAGCCCTTGACCCGCCGTCATGACCCCCCTCGCGTACTCCGGCCTCAGCACCTTGCTGATCGCCGCACGGCTCTTGCCGTACATCCTCGACAGGTCTCGCTGCCGCATAGACCGTTTCCCCGTTGGAGACACTGGCGCCGAGTAGTAGAGGCAGACGATGTCGGCCTTGTCCTGCGCGGTCAGCCGGCTCCTGCCCCTGCACGCCGAGCTGTGCTTGCTCCGCGCCGCCGCGTCCCAGCGGCTGGTCTGCGGGCCCCGGCAGGCGTCTGCGGGAGCGGTGTCGTCGGGGAGAGGCAGGAGGACGTCGAGGGAGGGGTCGTCGGTCAGGGAGAGGTCAGGGAGAGGTATTGTGCAGGGAGTGCCAGGGATCAGAAAGGAGTTGAAGATGTCTAAAGTAGACGAGGAGAAGCAGCGGTCTAGAGAGGTAAAAGAGGGGTCTGAGACATCGACGGGGTCGATGGGGAGGAGGAAGGAGGGGTTGAGGGAGGGGTCGTCGAGGAGGAGGGAGGAGAGCGTGAGGAGGAGAGGGGGAGACATCAGGGAGGGCAGGAAGGACAGAGGCCTTCCGAGTCGAGGAAGAAAGGAACTTGTCGGAGCAATGCGTCAGATGATGGGGAGGAGCAGGTCGTGGGAGAGGGTGGGGAGAGTGACCTTCAACCGTATGCGATATTCCCCGTGCTGACAGGAAGGCATGCAGGAGTGTCTTGAAAGATTTCTCGTACCGGTGATATTGAGGGGGAATAGCGGGGTGGTAAAGGGTGGAGGAGGGTCTACTCCACATGAAAGACTGTGAGCGCCGAAGCGTCGCTTTACTACGACTGATGGGATCACGTCCTGTGACTTTTAAAGCCTGTGAGTTGTAAGAAGTAAACTCTTTGACTTCCAATGACCCGTTTTCTTTGGGGCAAGGAGGGGTCTGATTCCCATTCCAAGGAGAGGGTGGGGGTCACGCGGATCGGGGAACAAGAGGTCTTGGGTCCTAGTAAAGCCAAGAAGCAACAAGGACAATGTTGGCGTCTCAATACAAGAGGACCGGTGATGGAATCTTGCCGTTGATGGAGGGGTGGGGGGCTTCTTGAAGGACCCCTCCTCCCCAGAAACATCCCATCTCCGCGCGCCTCAGTCACCAGCATTTCTCCTCTTCCGATCCTCGTGTAGCCCAGCACCTCCCATCCGTCCCCTCAGCGATGTATCCTCCTCTGTTTGATATCCCCCCTTCTATCCTTGTTGACGACGCCTCCCTCAACCCCTTCCTCCTCCTCCCCATCGACCCCGTTGACATCCACGACCCCTCAGGCTCCGCTAGCCCTGACGCCCTTCTTCCCTCCATCACTCTTTCAAGCCCCGACGACCCCTCCCTCGACGTCCTCCCGCCTCTCCCCGACGACACCGCTCCCGCAGACGCCTGCCGGGGCCCGGAGACCAGCCGCTGGGACGCGGCGGCGCGGAGCAAGCACAGCTCGGCGTGCAGGGGCAGGAGCCGGCTGACCGCGAGGAAGGATGGGATAAGGAGGAGATGATCAACTATGAGTTTTCATTTTTGTTGGTTTTATCTGCTTTCGTTTTCGGATGATCAGCGCATTTAGCACTGTGGGATCGGCATACTTGATGGAAATTTCATGTTCTGCATTAATGTTCACATTCAGCGCTTTTTAGATTTCACAACAGTGATTTCGATATATTATTGTTTGATGGTGCATCGCCAATGAATCGTTAGCAGGTCTGAGACGCAGGAGGAGGAATCAAGATTTTGGGGATTGAAAAGACGACTGGGAGAGGAGACGTTTACAAGCCTAAGGGAGAAATGACTTGTAGAAACTGGTAAAGTAAACTAGTACTTTTCATGTCCTACGGAAACACCCGAGTGTTCGTTGCTTTTAATCGCATCTTGTCAGAAAGATTCAGCTGGGGCCACTTTTAAACCCCTGCATTGTAAGATGTAAATGTACAAATGACTGGATTGTTAAGAATCTAGTAAACCAATGCTGCTACGCTGTCCGGCGGCCGAATAAAATCTGTGCCGATCGAATGCTCTTGAGTGGGTAGCCCCATTCTTGTTTACTACCTGGTAGCGATAAGCCACGGTATTGCGACGCTACAGTACATTGTCAGAAAGATGTGTTAAGGCAACGGGTCGGACAAGGCCGACATAGTTGAAAAGATTTCATTTCAACTCCTTTGATGAATGCGCTGTAAAGTTAAAAAAAAAAGGATGCCGGGGAGTCTGTCGGGGGAATGTCGCCTGCTATATAATCAGCTACCTCCCTTCCCACCCCCACCCCCCTTCTTCCACATCTGCTAGCCGCTCCCTCGTGCTTGCCTGCCTACGAATCTCTTCCCCCCCTTCTCTCCAACCACCTTCAATGTCCCTCCCTCTATCCCTCTATCCTTCTTATCTACTAGGCAGCGAAGACCCCTCCTTCAACCCCTCTTTCCTTCTCCCCATAGACACCGCCGATGTCTCAACCTCCGACCGCCTCAACAACCATTTCTTCATCTCTTCCTCTTGCCACGATGTCTTAATCCTCCTTCCTCCTCCCTGCACAATACCTGTCCCTGACCTCTCCCTGGCCGACGACCCCTCCCTCGACGTCCTCCCGCCTCTCCCCGACGACACCGCTCCCGCAGACGCCTGCCGGGGCCCGGAGACCAGCCGCTGGGACGCGGCGGCGCGGAGCAAGCACAGCTCGGCGTGCAGGGGCAGGAGCCGGCTGACCGCGCAGGAGAAGCTCGACATCGTCTGCCTCTACTACTCGGCGCCAGTGTCTCCAACGGGGAAACGGTCTATGCGGCAGCGAGACCTGTCGAGGATGTACGGCAAGAGCCGTGCGGCGATCAGCAAGGTGCTGAGGCCGGAGTACGCGAAGGGGGTCATGACGACGGCTCAAGGGCTCATGGTCAGGAACCGCAACGAGGTCCTCGAGAGCATCGCGGAGGAGGAGCGTCTGAAGGAGGAGCCCATGCAGTCTACCTGGATGGAAATGATGCGGCGAGGGCCAGTGGGAAAGAGGGGGTAGTGGCTGAGAGGGCAGAGGAGGCAGAGGAGGGGCGAAAGGGGAGGGAGAGGTAGTCATAGGGCAGGGAGGAGAGGGGACGGTTCGTGGGACAAAAATAAAGACAAACGACTAGCAAAGGAGGTATTGCAGTATGCTGCTGGTGCGAGTTGGGGGGGGGAGTGAGGGAGAAGAGGGAGAAAGGGACGGAGGGATGATGCCGCTGCATGATAAGGGTCAGGGGTGCATCTGACGGAGGACCTGGTGGACGAGCATGCGAGGCATCACGATCACGACGCGACACGTAGAGACAGTACAAGGAGGGCTTGTCAGAAGTAGATCATCTTGTCCAGTGCAACAAGGAGAAGGTGAGGTGTGTGAAGACTGGGACGGGAAAAGGAGATGACAAGTGGGGTATGGAGCGAGCATGGCATGTGCGAGAGTCAGCGAGGATCAGGTTGTCAAAAGGTCTTCAGGCCTTGGCCATGTCTTCTCTTGCAGTAACCGGATGGATCGCACAAGTCGACTGCTATGAGTGTCTTACAAACATTGCTTGTTGTTGAAGGCGTGGGTGAAGCTCCACTGAAGCATTGTCAAGCCATACCTTGCACCTCCAGCCCGGACCCTACCTCAAGCCATCCTCCCGCTACTTGTCTAGGCCAGGTGTGGCTCCGGGTAGGCTCTCTGTTTCATCACGGTGATCCAGTCTCCAGGCTTGTTTCCTTCAAGCCATCGCTGACGATCGGGCTGATGTTGGAGGAAGCTAAAGCAGATCTGTTAATGCCCCTCATGTTGTTGCCTGTGTCAAGGATGATTCAAGACGGCTGCGCTGCTTGATGCAATCGGTTTGCACAGAGGAAGCGTCGGATCCGATGACGGCTTGGAAGCATGTACTGCAGATGGGAAAGCTTGCGGACAAGGAGCGATCCGTTGGGGCTTTATGATGTTGGACCTGATGCATAGACGCACGGATATCTCGAAAACGTGATCGTC